AATGAAGGGGGGGGGACACACAGCGATCCCTGGTGGTCCGGTGGTGGTAAGCACTGCAGGGGGAGGGCTCCAGGAAGCAGCTCCCCTGTCCTCCTGCGCAATGCTGTGTGGAGCGTTGCCATGGTAACGCGCGGCAACGCTCCACACAGCATCGCGCGGGAGGACAGGGGAGCTGCTTCCTGGAGCCCTCCCCTGCCTCCCGACCCGGAAGCAGAGTAGGCGCCTGCCGTTTCGGGCAGGCAGGCGCCTACTCTGCATTGATGGCGAACCTGTGGCCGCGTGCCCACAGAAAGGGCCCGGCGTGCCACCTGTGGCACGCGTGCCATAGGTTCGCCATCACTGTCCTAGGTGAACTTTTCCTCCATACGCAACAAGCATCTAATATTGTCAAAAATATCATAGGCGAAAGGGTCATATTAAAGGCGTTAATTCTCCCCATCCAAGACAACTCCAATCTGGTCCATTGTTCCTATGTTAATTTGTGCAATAAGTTTTTGATGATTGTAATTGTCAATAGTTTGACTTGTTTTAGTTAATTCAATTCCTAAATATTTTAAAGAGGTTGTACGCCAATCAAATTCGTATTTTATTTTTAGATTCTCTACTGTCTCTTGAGAAATACCAATTGGTAGAGCCTGTGTCTTGCTGAGGTTATTTTTTGTAGAAAGAAACCTTTCCATACTGCTTCACCAAGGCCATTAGTGCTAGAAGTGCAGATTCTGGCTTTGTAATACTTAAAAAAATATCCTCCACAAATAAAGTTCATTTGATTGTTTAATCTTATAAACTAATGGCTCTAGGACTAAAATGAATATAAGAGGAGATAACAGACAGCCCTGGCGTGTACGTTAATGTAGGCTAAAATTGCGTGAGTGGAAGCCTGAGTTCATCATCCTTGCCAAAGGGGTGGAATAAAGAACACTAATTACCTTTACAAATTGAGATGGAAAGTCAAATTTCTTTAATGTGGTGTACATATAGTGCAATTTTTTTTTTTGTATTCTTTGTTTTATTGAGGTTAAAGCAGGAAATTACAAGGAATGCATTGAATGTGTAAATGGTTCCAAAGGTACAATAACAGGTGTAACAAATGACATTCATGTATATCATACCTCATTTTTATTATTTAAGACATGTTTGGGTGGTATACCGTAGGTCAGTGGTCCAGCTGCGCTCCAAGGTCAGGGTATATGCATTGTGTACTACTGTGTTGTGGGCTGTTTTAGTGTAAGTGTTGTGGTTGTCTCCCAAGTGAGTGTCTCCAAGGAAGATTGTGTTTCTGGGTTTGTCTTGCGATCGGGTCCCCTGGTGAGACCCTTTGGGGAGGCCAACATAGGTGTGAGTAGGTCCATATCTCTGTCTGGCTGCCCTTTTGGTTCGCACTCGGGTGTCTAAAGTCAGACCTGTGTTGTAAGGCCTGTCCTCTGGGTGCGGGCGGTGTGAGTGTCAGTGAGTCAGGTTTGTGTCCGCACATTTGAGTCAGTCATGTGTGCTGGCGTTCAGAGTGTAGGAATACTGGTAATGGGGCTCATGGTGACATGTGCTTACGTGTGTAGTCATAAAATGATGTCCCCTAACCAAGGGGGACGAGTACAAGTGTGTATGAGAGTATTACTCCAGCTGGGTAGAGCCCGTGTTGGATGGTGAGGGACACGCTGGGGTTAATGAAGGTACTCTGACCACTGCCATAAGTTGAGCTTTATCAGTCAGGGATTGACAGTTGATTATAACGTCTTGGAAAGCCGTTGGTGGTGCCTTCCTAGGTTTTTTGATTCGGAAGAATTCGTCGAGTGCTACCTTTTTTGCTTGGTCGTGCAGTTAGAGCTTGCTGAATAGGCGTCTGAGGTAGTTGGCCAGTTCAGTCACGTCAACTGAGTCAGGGATGCCCCTGATTTTGAAATTGGTGCGCCTGTGGCGGTCTTCTGCCTGATCCACTCTGGTGGATATAGTGGCTTGGGAGGTCTTCAAATGTTGGACAGTTTCTTTTAGATCTTGTACCTCTTTCCGGAGGTCTTGGATATCTTCCTCCGAGGCCTGTGTGGGTGCGGTCACCGCTTGTACCTCTGTCTTGATCAGGTCCGGGTCTGCGGCGTGCATCTGCCGCATTTCTTGGAGCAAGTCCGCAATATCTTGTTTAGTGTCATGACAGTGACCCCTTCACGCAGAGAGTAACCCAGAAAGAGACGTATACGGACCTTAGGGTGGCCGGGCTCAACATCAAAGAATAGTCAAAGGAATAGCCAGAGGTCGAGGGAGTACAGAAATCGGAATACACGAGAAATAACCAAGCCAATAATCAGGGAACCAGAGAGGAGAGTAGTCAGTAAGGAAAGCCAAAAGTCAATATACCAGAAAACTGACAAAAATTGCAAGAGCACTAGAGGGAGCACACAAGAACCACACTAGGGCGCTGAAGGAAGGACAGGGGCGCCCTTTTATAGTGAGGTGTCTTTTACTTTAAAGCCACGCCCCCAAAAGGTTCAGGAGCGTAGCTACGTTTGAATTTCTGCGGCAATCTTCTGATGACGTCGGTGCGCATGCACAGCGTCATAAGAAGAGGTGTGCCGTGAGCGGCCAGCGTCAGACAGACTGTGCCGCCTCCCGGAAGCAGCAAGGGAGAAAGCCGCGCTGCGCGGGCTCGGAGGGTAAAGGTAAGGTATCGTTACATTTAGTGGCTGAGTTTAGGTTTTCACGTCTCTCTGTTGTAAATCCCTACACACAACCAGAAACACATAATACATCCCTTATACACAAATACACACTGCTTCCACTACACACAAACACACTGCATCACCTGCACAAACTGGTAACCCTATACACTACATACCATAAGCACACATATTAGATCCTCTACAATAACACATAACACATCCCTACACACTCCACTCCCTGTGAGCGAACTCATGGGTGGGTGGAACTTATGAGTGGGCCTTATGGGCATACTCACCGTCAGGCCCTGGGGCCCAGACCCCCAAAAATGGAGCTGCTTCCAATTCTCCCAGAACATTGAATTTTGTGACCACAGTTGCAAACAGCCTCCAGAGATCCTGTTCTACACCAGACCAGTGGAGCCAAACTGCAGCCCATCATCATCCCCATCTGCTTGTAAGTAGGCAATCTAGTATATTATTAGTGACACTAATCTATAATGTACCTCACATTAAAGGGACACTATAGCTTAATGAAGTGGTTCTGGTGTCTATAGCTGGTCCCTGCAGGCTTTTTAATGTAAGCACACACTGTGTGCAGCACTGGCGTTAGTTCATATGGCAGATCATATGGGTGGGGCATTGTGATGTGACATGTGGGGGCAGCAAATTTTTATTTTGTCTAGGGCGGCAAAAATCCTTGCACCGGCTCTGATCCTGGGCAGGTGCACCAGTCTACTGGTGACCCACAGGAGGAGAGTGCACTGATTGCACTGCACTCTCCTCCTGTCCAGCCCCATCTTTACCGCAGTGCAAGTGCCCTCTGCCCCTAATTTACAGTGGCTCACACTCACAACAAGCAGTGCCTGGAGCCGAAGGAGCTGGTATGGCAAAAGAGCCACTGATTAGTACATAACATCAATATCCAGGAACGCGCCCCGCCCCCTGACTCTCCAGGTAAAGGGGGGGGAGAGGGGAATAGAGGGAGGAGGGAGGGAGGAAGGGGTGAGACACAGGGAAAGGAGGGGGAGATAGATGGGGAGGAGGGGGGAGAGACACAAGGAAAGGGGGGGAGAGAGATGGGGAGAGACACAGGGAAAGGGGGTAGGGAGAGAGATGGGGAGAGACACAGGGAAAGGGGGGAGGAGGGGAGAGACATAGGGAAAGGGGGAGGGAGAGAGATGGGGAGGAAGAGACACAGGGAAAGGGGTGAAAGAGGCAGAGGGGGAAGAGAGAGACAAAGAGGGAGAAATGAGAGAGAGACACACAAGGGGAGGGGAAGAAAGAGGCAGAGGGGGAAGAGAGAGACTGGGAAGGAGAGGGGAGACATTGACACAGAGGAGCAGTGAGGGGGAGAAAGAAACATACAGAGTGACTGGGGTAGACAAAAAGGCACACAGAGGGGCTGGAGATAAAGAGACACACAGAGGGGCAGTATATATCACAAAGCCCCCAAGGCCTTCCTCTGCCGGCCGATCTCCCTCCCCGTTCCACAGGCACCGTGCAGCCAGTCGGCAGGGGAGGAAGAGAGGACCTGGGGCAACTCTCCGGCTCTCACGAGGGTGAACTCTAGCCCTGGAGCTACGGGCTAGAGTTCACTCTCACCACTTCCTGGTGGTCCCAGTAGTAGGAGTGAACTCTAGCCCCATACACACACTGCCCCACACACACACACCATACACATTCACACACTGCCCCCACACACACCATACACATTTACACACTGCCCACCCACACACTGAACCTTTCACACACATTGCACCACTGCTCCTATACCCTACTACAGCCCCATATCCCAGCAGACTCCAGGTAAGTTGTCAAACTGTTCTTAAACGGTTTGACGACTTACTCTGGGAGGGGGTGCCGACGCTCCTGGCACCATAACCACTACACAGAGGAGTAGTGGTTATTGTGCATGGAATATTTCTTTAAATAATCTACAAGTGCCCCTCTCAGGCTCAGGCTCTGGATCCACCATTAGTATATGACATGTATATTAATGTGTGTATTAGTTTTATATCTCTATTATATTTCCACATATTAATGTACATTTATAAATGCATAATACACAGAGAAATTTCATTAATATGTACCATATGTAATGAGCAGATATTGGCCCAGTCTTGTTGCTAGGTGCATACTCCAGCACAATAACATATTTAAAGTGAAGAGCACACCCACAGGACTTCAAAATAAAAATATTTCAGTTGTGCCCTACATACATTCACCATTTCAGTCCCATTAACAAGCTTTCCTTAAT